ATTGGTACTCCAACAAACAACCCTTATTAAATATGTATTGTTATTTTGCTTAACGACGTGTTCAGGGTATCATCCAAACAATTGGTGGAATAGTTCTATCATTTGGGCTAGCGTTCGTTTATTGTATTTTTTATTGGGGAATTTCAGCAGTAGACCAGCTTATGCAGGCAAAAATTAGCTGCATACATTACTAAAATTTGGTTTATAAGGATTTTTTTTGTTCTAAATCATTTCCAAATGACTGTGATTATATTTGTTTCTGTTATGGGCTTGATATAGATGGACTATGAAATGAAAATAAAATCACCGAGAAAAGTCGAAACCCTTGACCGAAACGCTGCTCAGATACCATTAAAGCCGTTTGAATATAAGTTAGTACTGAAAAATAAGGTACATCGCAAGTTTCCTTGAAAATAATATATAGCCTAAATAACAATCTGTTCACTGCTCATGTCTACTTTTCAACGAGATAAAAGCAAAATGCAAAGAAACTCACGATGAAAATATAAACGATTTATTCAATACTGATATCAATCGAGCACCACGTCCTTCTAGAAATTATACGTGATTTTTGTTAGCCGTTGTTTCACAGGACTTTTTCCCATTCTTTATTGTTTAATACACACAGGAGCACATTCTTACAATGAGCAATATTAAAAAAAAAACACACATTTAAGGCCAGTCCATCCGATGAACAGCAACCGGGAACATCGAATTAAGATTCCAAAAACCCAACAGAGGACGATTTGGAAGCTTTACTCGCGGAAAAGTGCCAGCAAGCATCTAATTACAGGTTGTGCCCTTCTTAAGTGGATCTGAGGCTTTTGGATTAGACAAACACAAAAAGTCGGCTTCCGGTCAACATTTCTCCGTTGATTGCTATTTCTTTTTTTTGTGTAAGTGTGTGTGTGTGTGTGTGTGTGTGTGGGTGTTTTTTTTTAAAGGAGGAAACCTTCAAAAAGGCCATCGTGCCACCGCTTGACGACTGGGCGCACAGTCACGGTGACACGGTGTGTGGGATTCTTACCGCACTAAAACCTCTTTGGACGCCTTGCCCTTTTCGCCCGGAACCACTTGTCGTATTAATTCGGAGGGGGCCGTGCATTACGCACCTCTCTTTACCTCAGCTAATTGGCGCTTCCAATTCGCTGATCGTCTCTCCAATTTGTGAGCCATTTAGCTCCCAGTGTCACGTTCTACTCGGTTATCCCCTGTGGTTGATTCAGCCTACTCTAAGGGAGAGTTCTCCCGGCTTCGGCTTTCAGTTCGCACTTGTGTGAGCACATTACTACTTTCTAGTTGGCCTTCTCGCCATTTTCGCTGCAGCACTAACATGATCTGCGTTACTGCTCTGCTGACGGCGTTAAAGGTGCCCTCCTTTCGACACATTTCTTCGACGACATACTCCTTGCTAAGGGCGAGCATATCCTCTCGCACAGCATCAAATCTAGGAAATTCGAAGACCACATGCTCCGGCGTTTCATCGACGTTGCCACACTCCGGACAGAGGGGTGACGCTGCGTGTCCGAACGGATGCAGGTATTTCCTGAAGCAGTCGTGGCCAGACAGGAACTGCGTTAGGTGGAAATTGACTTCTCCGTGTTTTCTGTTCACCCAGGTCGAAAGAATCGGTATTAGTCTATGTGTCCATCTACCGTTCTCCGTCGTGTTCCACTCCTGTTGCCACTTAGCCAATGACTCCACTCTCACAACTTTCCGTACTCTTCCGGCTTCTCTCCGCCTGTAGCACTCGCTGTCCAGGGTGATGCCGATTGGGATCATACCGGCGATAACGCATGCTGCTTCCGACGAGATGGTTCTGTACGCACTCACGACTCGCATGGCCATGAGCCGGAACGTACTGCTCAGTTTCCTTTGGTTCTGCTTCGTTTCCAGCGCTGGAACCTAGGCTGGACCTCCATATCTCAGTATCGATGATGACACGCTGGCCAGAAGACGCCTCTTGCTACTGCTGGGACCAGCGTTGTTCGGCATGATTCTAGCTATCGCATTGATGGCCTTCGAAGCCTTCTCACAGGTATATTCGACGTGGCTGTTGAAGTTTAGCCGGTCATCGATCATCACTCCCAGGTATTTTAACACACGCTTCGAGGCTATGGTGTGCTCCCCGACGGTGATTTCTGCCCGCTGTACAGATTTACAGTTACTGACCAATAACACTTCCGTTTTATGGTGGGCTATTTGCAGCTTCGCTCCTTTCATCCAGTTACCAATCATGTCGATTGCCTCGGTTGACAACACTTCCACCTCTTCCAGCGTCTCGCCTGTTACCGTCAAGACGACGTCGTCCGCAAAGCCAACGATCTCAACTCCTTTGGGAAGTTTCAGCGTTAGCACGCCGTTGTACATCCCGTTCCAGAGCGTTGGACCAAGGATGGAGCCTTGTGGAACTCCCGCTGTAATCCTAATCGATCTCTGTCCCATGTCTGTCTCGTAGACCAGAACCCGGTTCTGGAAATAACTCCTCAGGATCCTGCACAGGTAGTCAGGGAGCCTCATTCTATGCAGTGCTTCGGCGATGGACTCCCAGCTGGCGCTGTTGAACGCATTCTTGACGTCGATCGTTATCACGGCGCAATATCGATCTCCTCTCCGCTTCTGTTTGGACGCCTTTTCAGCTCTCTCGACCACTGTCCGAATTGCATCCACCGTCGATCTCCCTTTCCGGAATCCGAACTGCCTCTCCGACAATCCGTGCTCACTCTCCGTGTATTTCGTCAGCCTGTTTAGGATGATCCTCTCCAAGAGTTTTCCAAGTGTATCCAGCAGGCATATAGGCCTGTATGATGCTGGTTCCCCCGGCGGTTTTCCTGGTTTCGGCAGCAACACTAGCTTCTGTATCTTCCACCTGTCAGGGAAGTGACCCTCGTTCAGGCATTTCTGCAGCACCATCCTGAACATGTCCGGGGATGACTGGATCGCCGCTTTCAACGCTACGTTGGGGATTCCATCCGGACCGGGAGCTTTTTTCACCTTCAATCCTTTCGCCACTGCTACGAGCTCTTCGTTGGTGACTTCGACGTTATCTCCCTCTTCTTCTCCGTACGGTGTAGGTGGCCAGGTTGTTGGGTCGTGCTTCGGGAAAAGTCCTTCCACGATGACTTTCAGCTTCTCTGGGCACATTTCAGCGGGCTTCGTTGGACCTCTGATCTTCGCCATCACGACTCGGTATGCGTCGCCCCAGGGGTTGGCATCAGCGTCTCGACACAGCTCCTTAAAACAGTTCGACTTGCTCTGCTTTATCACTCGTTTAAAAGCGGCCCTGGCCGCTCGAAACACTTCTCTTCGTTCCTCTCTGTCTGCTTCCGTTCTTGCTCTCTGAACACGTCTTCTGGCTCTGAGACAACTAGCGCGGAGAGTGTCAAGTGCCTCGTTCCACCAGTAGACTGGACGCCGCCTGTTATTTGGCTCCAGTTTCCTCGGCATGGTCGTGTCACATGCTCTCACTAACGTTTCTGTCAGCTCGTCCGCATTTAGATCTACGGGACTCCCGTCCACACGAAGTGCCTCAACGAACAAATCCTTGTCGAAAGCTTTCGTCTTCCACTTTCGGTCACAAGTTCTCGTCCTCCGTACTGCCACAGTATTCCGTTGGCCGATGCCATATCGTATCGCCTGATGGTCGCTATGGGTATATCCTTCGCACACTCTCCAATCCATGTTTGCCATCAGCGACGGACTGCAGAAAGTAACGTCGATAATGGATTCTCGGCCATCTCTGCGAAAAGTGCTGCTGGTGCCTTTATTGGCCAGCATAACTTCCAGTTTTGCCAGAGCTTCCATCAGACTGTGCCCTCTTGCATTGGAACATCTGCTTCCCCACTCCACTGCCCAAGCATTGAAGTCTCCTCCGATGACTACCGGTCGTCGTCCGATCAGCTCTTCGGTAAGTCCATCCAGCATCCCATGGAACTTCTCAATCGTCCATCTGGGGGGTGCGTAACAACTACACATGAAGATTCCAGCTCTATCCGCCACCCAGTTACCGTTATCGGGAGGGACTCGATACGGTTCCGCAATGATTGCAACGTCGCACTTTGTTTCTGTTGTCGACTGCCACAACAGTTGCTGAGCAATGTCGCAATGATAGAGGTTTATTTGGGTTACCTCCATTACTGTTGGCCTGCCATCGCCTTTTTGTATGCTAGGCATTTGAAGCCTCCCGTCGTATGGTCGTTACCGTCCTCTTTTTTTGCAGAGCATACACCTCGGTTGCTTCGTGCAGCCTCTTGCATTATGGCCTTTCTCTCCGCATTTCCTGCACAGATCTGATCTGTCAGAGCCATTGCAGTTCCTCGCCTGGTGACCGAATCCCATGCACTTGAAGCATCGCTCCAGTTGCTTGGTAACCCGAGGAGTGGCTTTCAGCGAGCACAATTGTGTGTGTGTGTGTGTGTGTGTGTGTGTGTGTGTGTGTGTGTGTGTGTGTGTGTGTGTGTGAGTGTCTCTGTGTGTGTGTGTGTGCGTGTGTGTGCGTGTGTGTGTGTGTGTGTGTGTGTGTGTGTGTGTGTGTGTGTGTGTGTGTGTGTGTGTGTGTGTGTGTGTGTGTGCGTGTGTGTGACTGTGACGAGCTATACAAAAAAATTAAGGGTCCATACAAACAATGTGACAAAAGAGGAAGGGGGTTGAAAATGAGCCAAATTTGCGTGACATAATCAATGGACCTTCCTTATGACTTCTGGGTTAATAAGTACCGACTCACAACTTGCCGAACGTGAATGCAAAAAAAAAACTTAAAATAGCAACGCAATTATGTTGTCTTTGTCTTTGCAGCCACAGGTTGCTTCAAAACCTTCCTGCAGTACGATGCGGATTGTTTTATAAAAACTACATATTTTGGTTTGTGCATCATCATTTTAGCCAAATCACAATTTAAGAGGTATATGTAGTATTTACCGCGTGAAACAACCTTTAACCCAATCATTTTTATATAAAGTATATTTTGTAATATTTGTTTTTTTGTGTATCTATCATTTTAGGATTCCAAAACCGTTTTTCTCCAGAACAGCTAGGGATTCAGGCGTCTAGTGCGCTTGCTTATAGCATTTTCGAGCTAGTTGTCTATTCACTTGCGCTGTACATTGCAAATATTCCTACAACTTTGAAAACTTTGGATTTACTAGCTCTCACTGGCTACAAATACGCTTCAATTGTATTAATTCTACTGAGCAGCATTTTCCTTCGAAAATCAGGATATTACATTTCCTGGTTATACGCTAGTGCTTCACTGGCGTTCTTTTTGGTATGTAATTAAATTTTGTTTAACTCATATATACTTGCCGTAATCGCATACTTGTTCCTTCTGAATAGAAAATTATGCAAAATTGGGACAAATGCGATTATGGACAGTATATTCACTGTAAAACCAGACCGGAATAAGGGTGTAGATGTTTTGATTTATAAAAATCGACACTGTTTATTCCGCTGGGCAATTTATGGTATTTTCAATCATATATATTTTACAGTTACGCACGTTGAAGGCCAAAGTTCTTTCGGAACCAGTTCAGGCCCAGGACCCACCCACATATGATCCCTATCGGCAGCAACAGCAACAGTTTGAACATACTGTCGGTCGTAAACGGAAACTGTATTTTCTATTTTTAGTTACTGGGCTTCAACCGGTTATGGCATTCTGGTTTTCGATGCACTTGATTCCAAATGACTCGGTGCTAATTACTTCATCAGCATTGTAGAATAAAAGTACTCAGCAATATGAAGTAACTATATGGTAAGTGTGTTTAATGAATGTTGTGTATACGTAACTCAAGTCCTTATTTCACGCACTGATATATGTATATTCAATGGATAAATAAAAGCAAAGACAGCATGCTGTGTTTTGTTGTAGGTTAATATCAAGGATGCAATTCCAAAAATACGTATGTGTCTGCTTTTCTAAACAAAGATTCAAACACCAATTTGTCGAAATTCTGAGCTCGCCTACGCAAACTAAATCCATAATCATGAAGGTGGGAGACCTAGGGTAAATCAGGGTAAGACGGACATTTTAAGATTGTTTTGTCGTCGCATTTTGCTAATAATATTAGTATTTTTTTAACTGAGTTAAACTTGTGCTAAAGAAAACTCAAATTTTATTTTAATCTTAACAATGAACACTTACTTCTTTCATCAATTAGATTAGATATTCCAGGCACAGTGAATTTGGCGTCTCTTTCGTTCCCCAGCTGTTTAAATGGTTGAAGGAGTGTGACGTCAAACTCTGTCATCCATTTAAACTGCCAGAGAACGAAAGAGACGACAAATTAACTGGCCGTCACCTGTTTACACTCATTGATTGTTTTCAATCGAATGTGCAGGGTGGCAGCTTCCACATCTGCGCAGGATATCGCACCCATCAACACACAACCAACGGCTTTATTTCCCTTCCGAAGAAAGACGTGACCAGAGATTTTTATGCACTCATTGATTTTCCATATGAAAAAAGCATACAATGTTTTACTAAACTAACTTTGTAGGTCCTTTTCTCGCCAACCTAGGATCGCCCACGCAAACCAGCAACATAATCGGGAAGGGGAAAATTTCCCCTACCCGTTGGTGTTGATGATTTGCTTTGGTGTCATATGGGTGGTAAGAAAAGGGTATAAAAAGGTAAAGGGTAGCATTTCCAGCTCAAATCGTTAAAAAAAATCTCAATTTTGTCTCGACCCCTTCTGATTTGAATGAAACATTGCTCACGTGTTCGCTGCTACTAATGGTTGCATTTTTCATTTAAATATGATTTTTTCCTCAAGAGTAGCTTTTGAAAAGGGCGTATAAAAAAATTGATTATTTTTTTTCAAAAAATCATAACTTGAAAACTATTGATCTGATCAAAATGGCATATGAGAAAAAGTTTTAGGTAGTTAAATTATCTTTGCGGAAAAAATACACTGAAAGAAACACTTAGTAAATTAGTATTTAAAAAACGTAAAACGATGATTATCTCAAAACACCCCCCCTTCGATCTTTATAAACAAAAATTTCAAGAAAACTGAAAAAATGCCCTAATATTTGGTGAAGAGTGCATGCTGGTAACTTTCTTAAAAAAATCTATAATTTTTGAAATTTTTGTTGGTTTTTACAAGTTGGTGAAATTGCATATTTTTTAGTAAAATAATAATTTATTTGGATTCTACGCATAATTTTCAAAAACTTTGCATATATAAACTTTTTTCCTAAGTCCAGCCGTTCTCAAGTTAATGCAATTTAAAAAAAATAATTATAATAATTTTCTACATTTTGGGCCATTTTCAAATGTTAGTCGTGATGTCCAGCAACGAGATGTTTTTCCATGAATATATATTAAAAAACAAACAATTCATTCTCAAATATGGTAGCTGTCAGACTTACCCGTTTCTATCTAGAGGCAGCGGAAGAGAAGCACGTTGATGTGGTCAAATGAAAGATTTGTTGAGATAAGAAACAGTATATATTTATTATTTTATTTTACAACTCATATTATTTGAATACATTGAATAATTTGGGTGTATCGTTTGAATTAGAGAATATTTTTACTGCAATTTGGTTGTTTGAAACTGGAATATAGCAATGATATTTTCGAGTTCCAGGAATTGGTTTCACTTTCTTAAAAATTGGATCAAATTCCGTGTCAGCCTTTTTGTATTCTTCCGTAGAAACATAACAAAATGACATTTTTGTTTGAAGATCTTCTTTACGACTATTTGCCCAGTCGTACAGTTGTTTAGGGTTCGTTATAGGGTGCTCGTGTTGCTTAGCTAAACTTGCTCTGGTTGCCATTCTCTTAGGGGTACCGCCAATCGCATCACAAAGACCTTTGCCGTGTGAAGTTGCAAAAAAATGCCATTCAATTTCTACATTATGCTTATCTTTAAATCCACAAAGGCTAGCAACATTTTTTATGTTTTTGTATTGTGATGCTGCTCCATCTGACATAAAAATACACTTTTGGACTGTTATTTTCGACTTTAAAAATTCTAATAATTTTAAAATAAACAACTGAACTGCTACTGTGTCATGCTTTGAAATGTCCGAAATAACCACAAAACTTAAATGGTTTAGTGTACCATTACCATTAAAATAAACGACAAATGGATGAATTGTACATTGAGCATTATTCCAATGATAGCTTTGAACCTCATCTTGCAGAACAAATGTGTAGTTTTCAGAAAAGTCGCAAATAACAACGACTTCGCCATCTTCTAGTGTTTGTTTTTTTGTTTTTAAGAATTCTGCCTGCTTATTTTTTATAAAATCGTGATATATTAATTTGTCTAACTTTTCCGTAAAGAAAAATGAAAAATCTACGGAAGGCAAAGTTTTCAACTCAATATTACACCTATCTGTCGTAGTCCACTGTTCAAATGACACTTCTAATATTTGTTTCTCTTCCAATATTTCTAATAATTTTGTTTCGGATAATGACGTATCGTAACAATTCATGCACGTTCGAAGATGGCAAAAGTCTGTTCTAGATTGTAAATCGCAAAGAAGTTGTTCCATATAGATAGTGCGATCACACAATATGCGATCTTTTTTCAGGCTGTTCAACATTATATTAACATTTTCGTGAATCGTACATACACAAACATTATGAGATCCTGATTTACTAAGAAGTTTACAATTTTTTGGCCGTAAGGCTGCAAATGAGCTAAAGCTAATTTTGATATCTTTATGGGTTTCCGTAAAATGCAAGTATGTTTCTTTGAGCGACATTGTTAGTAGACGTTTTTGTATTACCTGGCGTACACCACCCGTCACTACAGAGACATAATCTCTTTGGCCCGGCATAACTCTGCTTATATCGTCATCTTCGTAGAATTTCACAACTGTATCTACTAACTCTGCTCTCAGTCCATGTCCTGCTTTGGAACAAGGGGAACATAATATTCCATCTTCGGCGACCAAATCTTTTACCTGGGAAGAAAGAAAATGAAAATTATTTTTAATTTTTCCTTTATGGTGTTTAAAAAAAATATAAATCTTACCTGTGCTGCAGTATATCTGTTGACACCGAATTCATCCATGATTCTTTGTACAGGCCAAGATTTCGGTAATACGGATAATACTTGTTATAGTATTTCGTGATAGGGAGATAAAATAAAAAGCTAGTGTTTCACTTGGTGGCTATACAACGACTATATATTTCATTCGTCAAATGATACACATTCGGTACTTCTTCGTATCATCGCATTCGTATCGATTGCACGTTAAACGGATAATGAACACTACAATCCTCCATTTCTTATAGTTAAAACATTAGTTTTATTTACATTAATACTTCAAATACTTAGAAATTCAGAAATCCTAAATTTACATGCAATTCAATTCTAAAGGAAATCTAACACTTCGAAACGTAATTTCTTCTATAATTCATTATTCAAAGTATTCAAGTATCTCTGTTTTCTACACGCCGCTTCTTCAAACGTTCTGATCTTCTAACTCCTGTAACGATAGGATGGTAAAACTGGTTATTCGGTCTCGAAGACGAACTATTAGTTAGATCTGCTTCTGGAAATCCTAGAAAATCTGGTTCGTCATCATCATCTTCTTCCCGACCTCTCTTGTAATTTGGTTTGATTTGAGAAAATCCAGTTGATCTTCCACTTTTACGCAGCCTAATTTGATCGCGATGTGCAGATAGAACGTGACCATTTACAGAAATTTGAAATACGTTCAATGACAATCTCTTAACAAATGTCGCTTCTAACCAACGTTCGACATGTTTGAGACGATAATTTTTATACCATAGTGTATCTCCTGGAGATAGGTTGTTCAACTTGTCAACCCGATCTGCCTTAGGATTCTCATTGAGCGATGAATCCTGGCGACGGTGAACCAAATTATGTTTATAGTGGTTTTTAGGATGAACAAGGTCCAATAAAACCTTGGGCTTGTATGAAAGCACATTTTCAGAGGGAAAGATACCACTCCTAGTCAGGCAACTGTTCCTGTAGTTCAATAGGAAATAGCTAACCTGTTCCTCCACCTCAAGATGTTTGATCTGTGGTTCCAAAAGAAACTTTTTTAATACGTCTTTCGGCCTGACCGTTGCTGGCAGGGTGATAAGGAGGACTTTTTAGAACTACGATACCCTGTTTGCGCATGAATTCAGTAAAATGGTCGGAATTGAAAGGAGATCCTCCATCCGTTACAAGAACATCAGGGAGACCAAATCGAGCAAAAACATTAAGAAACTTTTTTAGAACTTTTTTACAATCTGTTCCGTAACGCATGTAATCTAATTCCACCCACTTCGAGTAGCTGTCTACGATTAGCAGAAAAACTTTTTCTCCAAGATGAAAAAAATCTGCGTGAACCCGACTAAACGGTCGACTGGTGGGTGTCCATGACGTTTCAGATTTTTTCTTGGGAACGACTAGAGTACGGTTGCAAACATCACAACTCTTAACATAATACTCCAGGTCAGCATTAATGCCAAACCAAAAAATTGTTCGACGAGCAAGCTGTTTGATCTTTACGATTCCCGCATGGTTTGCATGCAACAGTTTCTTAATACTTTGTTGTAAACATTTCGGCACAACTACTCGATTACGGAACAGAAGGCAATCCTCTATAAACTCGAGATCGTCAGCTTGAGCCTTAACGTCCTTCAATTCTCGCTCGACTCTTTCCGGCCACCCATACTGAAGATACTTAATTATTTGTGAAAGAAAAACATCTTTTTTAGTTTCAGTAGCAATAGTTTTAAAATCAATTGGAAGTTCGTTTGTAAAATTCAAATT